GCTGGGAATGTCTGCCCAGGTACTGTGTTTTCAGATCCTTCTCTAGAATATTCTGGCCATTCACTGAAGGAAAGTTAAAATTTACCTTTCCTATATTAGTTCATCTTTTTGTTGTATCTGTAGGCAATGCTTGCAGAGATTGAACAAAAGGAAGGAAAGGGCATGTAGTGATGTGCTTTTTGCCAGGGGATAGAACCTCAAAAAAAGAGTAGTGGGAATGTTGCCTAACAGCCTAGGTGGACTGTGTGTTTATCTCAAGCCTGGTTTTACTTTTGTATGGACCACTGCAGCATTACAGATAAGCACATTTTATTATGAAAAGGAAAAGCAGACACTATCTTCAGAGGTCAAGAACATATTCATTTTCTAATAAAAGTCATCATTCATCATGATGATCATAAGCAAATTTAGTCAGCATTTTATGTCCTTGGTACATGTTAGGTGCTCGTTAATATTCAGTGAGCAAAAGAAGAAATGAAGGATTCCATGGTAGATGCCTTCCTGGAAAGAGATTTGGCAGTGAACTGCTCCACTGTCTTGGCTCCCAGTCAGCCAGAGACTGGGATGCTGAAAGAGCTCAGAATGTGGCCTGGAGTAGGACAGGGTGCTGTAGGTATCATAGCTTCTGTCTTGGATTTAGACAATCACTTGTGCCCAATGGCATAGCACTTTGTCTCCAACAAATGTAGCGCCCATGCTCTCCAGAGTAGGCCATGGACACGTGACTCCTATTCCCAAGAGTGATCACTTTACCATTGCCCACACCACTCCCTTCCTCCTCAGCTCTGGAGGGAGGGCGTCATCTGCTGGTATCTCTCTGTCTATACACGTCCCACTCACATATCCACCTCCATCCTTTCCTGTGAACTGTTTGGGTATGTGTATGCAGTTGTAGTCTTCCTTCTCTTCCTTTCATGCCCAGCTCCATGCTGACATCGAATGATCTCATTTCATCCTCACAGACTTTCTGTGAGGGACAGTGAAAATCTAAGTGTCCCCAGCACAAAGACTGAGGATCAGGGAGCTGTGATGCCTTGGCTAAGTCATCTGGCTAATGTGCAACAGAGCCAGGGCCGACAACCAGGCCTCTCTATCTCAGTTGCTGTATTTCTACTGCACTACCCTTGTGTGAATCAGAGAAGGAAAGAGGAGGGGAGAAGAAAGCCAGTAGTGACCAAGCCCCTGGGGGTTATATGGCAGGTTCTAAGATCTGAAAGTGTTTGAAGTTCCTTGTTCATCCCCTCAGCATGTGGCTGGCCAGCTGGACTGGACCCTCTTCAGGCTGCCAAGCCCTCTCCTGTCCTTCCAGAGAGTCTCTCATTGCCCAGGAGTTTTCAGAAATGACTCAATATTTTGGCAGCAGGAGAGAAGGTTGAGTGCCTCTGAAGGGTTGAGTCCTGGGGAAGGGAAGAGGTAAAATTACACAAATCACAGAGGACACTCTATCAGTGATGATGTGCATCATACCCTCCTTCCTCCTTGGACACTGACATCAGCTTGGTTCCACAGGGATGAAGGAGGGCTATTTCTAAGGCTGTTGTATCCAAGGACTAGAGGTGACCATATCTTCACTGGAAACTGATATGGCTGTCCTACATCAATGTTTCACAAAATAGAAATGTAGGGAATATCTACAAAAATATACCTGCTGAAAGCTTTCCAACTGGGAGCTGCTAGGGATTTAGAAGCAGGTCCATGTGCAGGGCATCCTTGGCATCCCCTCAGGAGTGCAATGAGTATGTGCAGCTGGCAGGCTTCTTGGTGCAGCTGCTGGGTGTGCACTGCTTCCTCCCCTCCACATATGGCCAAGCCCTGCTTCCCTCAGTGATACAGACCAGATTGCTGGGCATAGCTCTATCCTGATGCAGTCAGGGGAAATTAGAGAACTGCAAGCTTGGATGATGTCCCTAACAAGCTGGCTGGGGTTCAGAAGAGCAGATTCCTCTACTGTGGCCATGGCACACACAGTGACAGAGAACATGGTTCTGATTACTGCATATGTAAGTCCCTGATGAGGGTGGGAGCTTCTTGGTCGCTTCCCTTTTGAATGCCTTCCATAGCTACCCCCTCTCCCATCCATAAGCATCTGCATTAGCAAAGCACTTTCAGCTCTGTTGCCTCACTGGATCCCTACAGGCCCCCCGGAGGATAAATAGAAGAGGAATTGGAATAAGAATCTGGTATCAGAAAGATTTAGTGACTTCCTCAAGGCTACACAGTGAGTCCATAGCAGGGCTGGACTCCCTGTCCTGACTCCCACTTTAGACTGTGCAATCACAGGAATCAACTTTGAGACTATGTATTAGGTAGGATGTTGATGAAATTTTAAAAACTTACCTGGGAATGAAGGAATAAGAGAAAGAAGAGTCAAGGTGGGAACCTTAGGTAGGAAAGTTTGGAGCTATAAGTCAGAGAACAACTAAGTTAAGGTTGCAACTGCATAGAGGCATCTAATATGTCCTACAAGGAGCCAAGAGGAGGGCAGCTACAGTCTTGGTACAGGGCTCAGTGGTGGTATGGAGAACCATGCTGCCTCCATCTTCTTGTTCTGTCTTCCTCAGGCTGTGCTTTTCATTCTTTTATTGTTACCTCATGGTTGCACAATGTTCACTGCAACTCCAAAATAGCAACCTAAGGATGAAGGAAGGAGAAGGTATATATAGAAGAGTTTTCCTTTAATGGTAGGAAAATAATTGATAGAAACTGCCCAGAAAATTTCCCCTTGGCTAGAACTGAGTCACCTGGCCATTGACCACCACACATTGCAAGATGGAATTTTGAAAGCAGGCGTCTGGCAGAGGGAAAAAATGGGAGACTGCTATCAGCTGAGAGTGATTGAGCTTTAGGCTGTAGAAAGGGGTCACTCTGAACTGTTAGCCAGCAAAGGAGGTGAAGAAGAGAAGAATGGCTGTTTTCTTAGCAACTTCCAGTGTCCCTCAAATGTGGATGAGAGAACTTTCGTGAAGTTCTTTTTCATGTTGATTTGTACAAATGCTTCCTGGAACCTGAGGTGACAATGCATTTGTAGACTAAAAGTCACACTCCTGTTTCTCTATGGCTAACTTCAGAATTGCATATATATAATTTTCTGTATGGTCCATCAGAGATTATTTAAGTTCTAAGATTTAATAAACTTTTTCAAGTGCTTTTGTATGACTAGAAACAAAGATTAAAGAGGGGCATAAGTTAGCCTGATGGGAAAAATAGGGGCTAGAGAGGAGACATTGGGGACTTTGAGATTCTGAAGTGAGTGGCTATAATCTCAGTTTGGTCATTTGTGCTCTTCCTCAGTTTCCTCATATGTAAAGGGTGAGTGATTGGAAGTACTTCCCACATGAGGCTGAGTTAACCTGCAAATGATGTTTAGCCTGTGCCTATATGAAGTAAGTGTTTAGAAACAACCAACTTCCAGTAGTAGCTGTGCCATCTCCACTCCTGCTCACTTGGGAAGCATCTTTGCATGTGAAGCCAGAGGCATCCCAGTCACTATTGCAGCAGCTGCAGGTTTGTCCCTGAAGTGTGTCCAGAGTGATTTTCCCAAGCTCTTACTTTATTTTGCTCACACCCCTGCTCACAGCCCTGCCATAGTCCTTGCTGACCATAGTTTAAAAGACCAAACTCCTTAGTCAGTATTTATTCAAGAGTGAATATAAGAGATGGTTCTGGTTTCTTCCCTGAGGAACACTGGGCTCCTTTGGCCAGTAAAGAGGAAACACATGATGCTTTCAATAAATAAATGGTTGGTGGGTGTCTACCTTGGGGCCAACCCTGTGCCTATTGCAGGAAATACACTGAAGGACCAGGCATGGACCTTAAGGATGTTGTCCCAACTTATGGTGGGGGATCCAGGCAATAGGAAACTAGAATTTAGAGAGAGTATACAGGACAGAGGCCTAACCCAGTCTACTATGCACCAGAAACTTCCTCCCAAGGAGTGGTAATGAACTGGTTAGAGCATAGGCAGAAAGAAGCCAGAGAGAGTAGAAGTCAGAGGCAGGGCTCCAGGCAGAGGGCCCAGTGAAGGATATTAGAAAGAAGGGATGGGATATGCAGAGGAAAGAAGGAATATTAGGTCTGGACAGTACACATTTTGGAGGAGTCCAAATGAGTGGAGATACTGGAGTGATCAGCAAGGCCTGGTGTCTGAAGCCATGAAAAGTCCTGGGAAGGCTCAACTGCAGAATAATGGGAAGCTGCAAACAGGATTGACAAGAGGTGACATGATCTGAATTGTGTGTCTTTTTGGTACTGGAGTTTGAACTCAGAGTCTTGCACTTGCTGGGCAGGTGCTGTACCACTTGAGCCATACCCTTAGCTCCAGATTTGTGTTTTGGAAGGACCAGCTATCTACAGTGCAGAGAATCAAGCCTGATGAGATAAATGAAGATAATAACTATCAAATATCTGTTTCCAGGTTGTATGCTTTGGACATATTCTGGGTAGTCAGAAATGAAAAGTGAGAGACAGGCATTGGCAAGGCAAAGTGGATGGTATCAATGTTCATGAGGAGTGACATGACCAACGTCCCCATACTGCCCAGAGTGACCAGAGAGCATAAAGACCTCTCCTTTCCTCCATTCTGTCCCCACATGTGTCCCTGGGTTCTGCAAAACCAGAGACAGGAGGTGGAGCTATATTCAGCCAAGTCTGAGATGCCCATCCGATGCCACTTACTCTGTGGTCAGACATGGCCAGAAAAACTTGCATGGCTGTTCCCTGAGTAGCCACCCCTGAAGAATGGTCAGTTAACAGCATGCATCCTGAGCCTGCCATTCTCCAGCATGTGCTCTTCTTCCTCAAACAAGAAAATAATCAAATTTGACTTTAGCTCTTAATTCCAATTGTGTGTCAGGTTACTCATGGGAAAAGTCACTTTATCTGAATACATTGAGCCTGTGACTATGCTGACTTTTTTGTATATTTGTGTCCTTCAATTATTAACTGGTACCCTTTGGGTCCTTCATTAAATGTTTCCTCTTGGTTGTGTCTTCTCTTTGCAGTATAACGAGGAGCTTCACTACGTGGAACCTTGCCTGAATGGAACATTGGTGCAAGCTGACAGGACAAACAAGGAGGTAGGGGCTGATGCTAGAGATTATTTATAATAGATCTGTTTTAACTCTAAACCTCATCAAATGAGCTGTGCATTCACTGTGGCCCTCAGAGCCCTAGGGTGTGTAATATTTACTAAGAGGCACACATAAAATCATGACTCTAAATAATTACATTTTGTTTAGATGTTTCCTAGTTCTGAATCAGTTATGTTGGCTATTTTTTTTCCTCTTGCTGAAGCATAGCCTATATGTGCCTGATACCTCTTTTGACACTATTGAAGGAATATGGTTCTTACTGAGATTTCAAAGAAAATTGAATCTACTTATTACCCTGATTGTACTTGTTATAATTGATTGAATCATCCTGGGGGCAGCTGTTGGGGTAATTTTTCTCTATTAGAAGGTAAGCTTCATGAGGAGAGGGTTGGTTTGGTTACTATCACATCCAAAATGTTCCAAGAATTGCCTGTTCCATAAGTAATGTAGAATAAAAGGAAGATGTGTTAAAGAAGAATCTTAGGAAATAGAAGTTTCTCTTCCAGTTAGAGCCTTCTAGGAAAAGTCTTAAAATAGAATTCTATGAAAATATATAATTTTCCCTTTGACCACCTTTGAAGTTATCAATCTAACCACCACAGTCCCATTATTTCATTCCTATAGGAAAAATTGACAATTTAAGTGGGAGGTATGACTGTGGCTAGAACCCTCTCATCCCCTGTGTGACTCATAGCTGCCATTGCCCATGTTGTTTTGCTAGATATGAAATGCAGGGCTTCCGCCTGACAACCAGAGAACTGAACCCCAAGAGGGGTGCTAAGTGCAATGACCAAGCTGGGTTTCTCTGGGGCACTGGGAAATGTGCTGCAGAAAACCCTTGGCCCAGATGGGGAGTGGTATTGGTGCTATGTTAGAGGCAGGCAGAAGAAGCTTAGTTTGGTCATTTCTGACAGAGGGAACAACAGAGAACTGGGAGAAATTCATTCCATTTGGAAGGCAGAATAAGAGTGAATATATTAGCTTCAATTTTGGGGGATAAAACACCACAATATTCACTTTTAGGAGGGAGAAACAAGGATATAGTAGTTCAAAGAATAAGTATATCCTAAGAATGTTCATTTGCAGGTATTTTCTAGGCTAAAATAGGAAAAACAACTTAGACCTACAACTAGATATCTATTTGAGGATTCCACACCCTTTCTACTATTTAGTATTGGCTCAAATAAGTATCAGTTGGTGATGTTTCCAACATTAAACATAAAATATACTTAAATAATCAAAGCCCTGCTTCAGGTGGCTTCCCAAAATAACAAAGGGCAGCATGATATTTGGAGGTATAAAGTCTTATGAATGAAAAAATTGTTAAGAAAGTAAGCTAAGAATTTGTTTAAAATTGCCTTTGAGTTTATGGATATTGAAAGACTGGAGTAATTTTTGAATATAAAAATAATACAGGCTTCTACTTCTACAAGTGTGGAATAGCCACATAACCATCAGCTCCTTCCCCTTATAATAATAAAAGCCCAGACATAGTGCAGCAAGCAAGGATAAGAACACTCTGAGGGAGGTGAGCTATCTATATGCCTTGGGGCTTAAAAACAGGGAACATTTCTTTGGTTTCCTTATTGTCCCCCAAATGCCCCAAATAGGACATTCTAGAAGCTTCCCACCTGGATCAATAACATAGGTAAAAACAAAAAATATACAAACAGACAACAACAGTAATCCTGTTTCTCTAGCCAAAGAACCATAGAAAAACCTTTGTATCAGGATCTTCTGTACTCTAGCCATATATCAATAAACAACCATAGACCAACTCTTCAGGTTCTATGGGACTAAACAGGAAGTTGATGTTTTGTACCACCTGTACCCACCGTGCTTTTGTGCTATTCTTCAATAGAGACTGATTGCTAAGAAAAAATATTAAATAGGATCCAGATTCCCATAACATAAAATCAATGATGCCCCCAAATTCCGTTAAAAAAAAAATCCATTGTAATCCCAAGAACCAGAAAACCACAAATGAATGAGAAAAGACAATCAATAGAAACCTATATTGACATGAATCAGATGTTGGAATTATAAAAGTGCTTCAATAAGCAATTAGGAATTTTCTTGAAATAGACAAAATAAAAGAAGTAATAAGTAGAGTCAAAAGGAAATTATAGAACTGAAAAATACAGTCAATAAAATGGCAAGCTCAATGGACCAGCTCAGTAATACAATGAAAATGAAAATAGATAAGATCAATGAATTTCAGGACAGATCAATGGAAATTACCCAGCAGAGAGAAAATTGACCAGAGCAAAATGAACAGTCTAAAATACATGTGGGACAATAACAAAACAGCTAGCCTTTAAAACATCAGAGTCTTGGGAGAGGAGAGAGAGAATGGAACCCAATAAGTATTTAAAGATACATGGCTGGAAATTCCCCCAAACTGGTGAAATGCATAAACATACATATTCAAGAGGCTAAACAAATTCCAAATAGGATAAATACATGTGAGACACATTATAAATGTAATTAGACAAAATGTCTTGAAAGTATCCAGAGAGAAAGGACACCTTGTTATATGAAGAACCAATTTAATGACAACAGATTTCTCATATGAAATCATGAAGACTAGAAGGAAGTAGCATAGCTTTTCTCATGTACTAAAAAAATTATCAACCCAGGATTATATATCCAGTGAAAATATTCATCAGGAATGAAGGAAAATATTCATCAGGAATGAAGGAAAATTAAAGTCATCTTCAAATGAAGGAAAACTATGAAAATTTGTTGCTTGCAAACCTCTTAAGAATGTCTAAAGTGAGTTCTGTAATCAGAAAGAAAAACAGAAAAAAGCTTGAAACTTTAGAAAGAATAACATTGGGGTGGTTAAAAATTAAGGATAAAGTATAATAGAGTATCCTTATTCTCAGGAGATTCTTAAGTCATATTTCATAGTTGAAACAAACATTATAACACCATCTGATGTGGTGCTATAATGTTTGTTGAGGAAATTCTTATAAATACATGACAAAAACTAATAGAGCTGAGGGTCAAATAGAAATATGTATGATTGGAGTTGTGACTTGTGTAATTCTGCAGTCAGCCATTGGTAGACTGCTGGACAGAAAATCTATAATATGACCATCCAATAATATCTAAATGATGTTTTTGGAACACTTTTCAACAGCAACAGAATACACATTTTTTCCAAGCACCCATGGAACACTAACCAAGACTGCATATGCTGGACCATAACACAAACCTCAAAAATTTAAAAGATTTGAAATCATACTGGATATCTTTTCTGATAATAACAGAATGAAATTAGAAAATAATAATAGAAAGACAGCAATAAAATTTCCAAATACTTAGAAATCGACAATACATTGCTAAACAATCCATATGTCAAAGAGGAAGTTTAAAATATATAAAACTCAATGAAAAACAACATATAAAAAAATAAGTGGGACAAAGCTATACCCAGTGTTGAGGGAGAAATTTATAGAACTAAATGCTTACCTTAAAAGAAGAAGATTCTCAAATTAATAAGTTCTTACCTCAAGAAATTAGATAAAAGAAAGGAAAAACAAACCAAAACATGCAGATGAAAGATAATAATAGAGTAGAAATCAACTCAATTCAACCAGAAAAACAGTAGAGAAAAAAAATCACTGACGCTAAAAGCTGCTTCCTTTAAAAAAAACCAAAAAACAGAAACTGTAAAACTGTAGCAAAACTGACAAAAATAAAGAGAGAAGGCAAATCACCAGTTTTGGGAATGAAACAAGTGGTATCAGCATAGATCTTGCAGCCATTAGAAAGATACTAAGGAAATATTATAAACAGCTTGAACTCATGAATTCAACTTAGAAGAAATGGTCTGTGTCCGCAAAACCTACAAACTACAAAAAACCAACCAAGATGAAAGAGACAGCTGAAATAGAGAAATTTAATTCATAATTTAAAAACTCTCCCCAAAGTTTCTAGACCCAGATGGTTTCACTGGAAGTTTCTACCAAATATATAAAGAAGAATTAATACCAACTTTATATAATAGCTTCCAGAAAAATAGAAGAGGTGAGAAATCCTCCTGATGCACATAAATGTGGCTTACATTTCTCTGATAAAACCAAAAATAGTATAGAGAAAGAAAACTACTGCCCTGTATTTCTCTTGGACTTACATGTAAGACTCCTTAACAATATTTTAACATATCAAATCTTGCAGTGTATTTAAGTAAGGAACAATACACCATCCCCTTTCCCCCAGTGTTTATTCTGGATATGCAACGTTGGTTCAACATCAGCATCAAATCAGTGAATGTAATCAATCAATCAATGTCAAATTAACTATATTAATAGGCTAAAGATGAAAAAATTATGATTGTATCATTTGAGGTAGAAAAGCATTTGATAAAAATCTAACACCCACTCATAACTAAAAAAAAAAAAGACCTTCAGCAGACTAGTAATAGATAATAACTTCCTCAAGTTGATAAAAAGAAGACCCTCCATAAACAAGCTATAGCTAACATCAACCTTGGTGAAAAGTTTTTTTCTCTTAGATTGGGAGCAGATGATAGTCTTACACTCATTCAATTCATGTTGCAAGGTTTAGCCAGGCTAGGAAAAGAAATAAAAGTCATATAAGCATTTAAGTCAGAAATCAATAAATAAGCTGTCTTTGTTTCATTTCATGTGACTGTATATGGAGAAAATTCCATATACAGATTTTTCTCCCTCCAAGAAAAATCTAGAACTTATAAGTGAATTCATCAAGGTTTCATATACAAGAGTAAATACAAAATCTAGTTACATTTCTATATACATGTTGAATATCCCTTATATAAAATGCTTGGGATTAGAAGTATTTCTGACTTTTTTTTTTGTAAAAGGTTTTGGAATATTTGCATAGACTATTGTCTTTGTTTGTTTGTTTCTTTCTTTCTCTCTCTGTCTTTCCCTTCATCTTTTTTTTTTTTTTTTTTTGGCAGTATTGGGGTTTAATTTAGGGCCTCTTGCTTGTGA